TTTCCTTTCCCTTCCTTTTCCTTTCCTTCTCCCACCTTTTCCCCTCTCCCCATGCAGCTTCGCCCCACCGTAGCCACGAAGTGCTTCGAAGGCGTTCCCACCTCCCCACCGTCTTTTTCCCACCCTCTCCGGTTCTTTCCTCGCTGTCCAGCCCATCCCGCCCTCGTYTCCGCCAGGGAGCACCGCTCATCCCCTTCCCGCAGCGCTTCCCCCGAGCACCGCCAGCCCCTGTCGCCCTCCACGCAGCCGGACAGGGAAGGCCGCAAAGGAGGGACCAGAGCCGGGCTGGGCCAGGCCGCCCCTCTAGCTCCRCAGCTCCCGCTCACAGTCTCAGCTGCCGCTAACGCAGGACTCGGGTAATTGATTCAGTGCAATCTCTAGGATCTTGGGAAAGTCACCGCTTCCCGTCGCAGGTGTTGGTACAAGCACCGTCTTTCCTGGGCAGGGTAGGGCTCGTTAGTCCAGATTTTGCTTGGAGGATCATGAGCTCATACTGCGAAGCCAGCACTGCCACGAGCTCACACAAGCAGGTGCCTGCAGACAGGCCTCCCAAGGCAGCGCCTACATAGGTACATCCATCCCCTTGTCTCAAAACAGGGCTGTGCAGTTCCCAGGCAAGTACGGCCCAAACGTGGCCCTGTGGGCGCCGCACGGCCCTGCACACAGGGACTGTCGGCCTCCCGCCCTGGCAGGGCAACAGCAGGCGCCAGAACTGCCCCACAACGAGGGCACGTTGGACAGAGGCAGCTGCAGCTCCGCGCCGCTTGAAGGCCTGCCTATGTGAAGAGAATAAGTTATTGGAAATGGTGATAAAGCAGCGATTRAAAAGCACCCAAACCAGGGCAGTCTGGGAAAACAGCAACTTCCCTGAATTCAGGGATACTGGAATACAGGGATACCGTACTGACTCTTCGCCTTGGTCCATTCTGAGAGCAATCTGGACATACCTAAAAGCAAATACACTGGTAGCTCAAAAACATTCATAATCAAGACAGGCTGTTTCTTGAGCGGTACAGTGTTAAGGACCTTGCCTTGAAAACATTTTCCAAAGTTAGGAGCCTGCTCAGTTCTACAGGATTTAGGCCACATTTGATCAGTCTCAAACTTTGAATAAAAGCTGATAGAGTTCTCAACTCAGGATTCCTTAGGAACATCCTTCTCAGCCCTAAACAGAAACGTTCTACACTCRCTAATAGGGAAGTTTGCAAACAGAGAAATGAATCCATTGCTTTCTGTACTATTAATTCTAATCTCCTAGTAGAATTAACATTCTTTCAAGAACTTCTGTTGGAAGAAAGAGAGTATACAATAATTTTGTAATATAAATTAATGAGGCTTTAGTATGTATCTTAAAATTCCTCTTGGAAAAGATACATCATCTGTTGCCAGAATGAAGGCTTATAATTCCGACATTTCAGGTTCAGGTTTTTGTTTTGAACATGTTGAGTTAATAGAATATAATGAAGTATAATAAATAATTAACATTAAATCACAGCCATGGTAATTAGTGAAACATCTTGGGAAACGTGATCTTTGCCTGGGTGTTCACTTGGCTGTTAATTCTGACAATGCAATATATACATTAGTATTAACAGCTAGTGCAAATTAACAAGTGTATTTTGCAGCTCTGAATCAAAAAAAAAAAGTTTTCAAGCACATAGTTCTGTCTCATTTCATGAAATTTTAAGCACTTGTTTGGGTGCTCTGAGGAGTTAGTAACCATAATATGCTAAATGTGCACAGCTACCAATAGCACCAAGCTTTACTGAACACATAAGAATTACATGCCTGTCATAAATTCCTGCTGTACAGACCCTGAAGCTCAAGAGTAAGGACAATCATCGGGGTGAAAATAACACAGGAACAAGGATGCACAGAGCAGCATTTCTGGAGTGTTCGTTAAAAGGCTAGCAAATGGTGTAAAAAGCAGTGTAAATTCAGAGCTGTAGAATATAGAGCAACCCAGATCAAAATATAAAAATGCAACTTGGAGCTGATAAGAATATATTGATGTTGAATCACTGATCAAGCAATTAAGACCAGAAAAAGAGCTCTCTCAGCAACCCATCTTGTAGCTACTTTAGTTTCCAAGTAATTTGACCTGTTAGACAAGATTCTAATTTATTACAACACTTCAGTTTAGAAATAAAGAGAGCAATTATCACCAAAATTATCACTAGAAGTTAGTAATAGCTGAGCCATCTTGGGCCACACGAAGGTTAACATCAATGCAATGTTAATTCCTACAACACACTTTTTCCCCCTTCATACCATCTAGCTTGAGATGAGACCATCTAGCCCTCACAGGCTTTGTCTTAGTGTTTGCTGGCTTTCATCCTGCGGGTGCCACACCATTGTCTGTATGTACGTAGCCGCTTAATTAAGAGCCAGTATCAAGCGAGTGCTGAGTCATGTCTCCATGCCGCCAGGTGGAAGCGCCCGCTCGGCCCGAGGTCAGGGGGAACCTGGAGCTGCCATGAGTCGCAGGCCGGCAGAGCCCCCCGCGGAGCCCCGCACGTCCCCCCGCCAGCCTCYGCGGAGCAGGTAGGCGCTTAGTGCAGCGAGGCCTCTGCACAACAGGGAGCTGCCTCTGGCCTGCCCCGTCAGGCAGACTCCCCTGCACCTGCRCATAGCAGGTACCACTTGCACAGCCTGCAAACCTCTCCTGCCAGAGGTGGCAGAAATTCAGGTGTGAGGTGTAAGCAAAGGTTTGAGCATGGCCAGTTCTTCCTTACTCTCCTAAGCCTGAACATTACAAAGGCTTGTATGGAAACTGCCCAAGTGCATAAGGACCACTGGTGTCACTGGCTTATTTTTGGAAAGGACAAATTGAAATTAAGGTTTCTGGCAGTTATGAGTATCTAAAGGATTGAGCAAGTACTCAGAAGAAGGGTAGAAGTTTTATCTTCTCCTGAAGAGTTTAAGCTTAAGTATTGCGACTGGTTAAAAAAAAAAAATACAGAACAGACAAGAATGGTACATACATCACTGTGCAGCTATATACGTCACTGTACAACAATCAATTGGATTATTTAATCACAGCTTGTATAGAATTCATACAACAGAATTTTGACTAGCGTTTTGCCTTAAAGTGGGTACAAAAATAGATGTAGGAATGCAGGGAATAATTAGGTTTCTGGAAAAGGAAAAGAAAGGTCTTGGATGTAGACAGGAAGCACCTGTTTAGAGGGAGAAAAATAAGTGTTTTCAGTTGAGGTGTTTGAGAAGGTAGGTAATATCCTAGTATTTTGTAATTAAGTATTTTTTTTAAGTCAAAATGAGAAAATAACTCGATATATATAAATATTTTTTAATAGCTTTAAACTCTCTTCTTATATTTTGGTAAAGTGAAGTTTGTTCTGTGGGGGAGTGAATCTGAAAGGTGTTACCAGCTAACATAACCGTATTAGCCCCCCAAAATATGTACCCATAGAAACAAGATGAGAGTCACAAGACCTGGAATTAGTCCTCACTGTAACTTGGTAGCCAAGATTAAGCACAAAGCCCAAAATAACCTGGGACGTCTTTGACTTTGGATCTCCCACATCAGGATAAGTCAGACTCAGAGCTCTGCAACCTACTAGCAGTACGGAAGAAAAAAAACCAAAAACAACCAGTGATCTTAAATTAAGCACTTCAGATCAAGATTTACACCCCCCCCCTTTTTTTAATTTCTCCTCCCAATAAGAATAGTCAAAACCTAGGCTAGATTAACAAAGAAAAGACTGCAGCACACCCACTACCAGACAGTTTTTAAGAGCAGATTAGATAACTACCTCCTGTRAATGAGTGGCTCCTGCCTAAGGGAAGAGAGGGCTTAGTCCTTAGTGTAAGTTCTTTCTCTCTTACCATTCTGCAACATGGAACCCACATTCCACAGCTTGACAACACAGGTACTTTTTCCACCAGTAACACAATCAAGGCCAGGATGCTCCAAAACCAATAAATTAGAGAATACTTGAAGAAGTACATGTTCCTCCCCGCTCTCCCAGTAATCTTTAGGAAGGGGATAATTAACCTTCCTCAAGACCTTTAAGTACATTGAGATCAATAGAAGGAACATAACAGTAACATCACAGTAAGTTGCCTTGGGGAGGAACAACACTGCCTGCAGTAGAYTTAGCTGATAACAGGCTGCATCTCCCAGGTGCACAGAATAACTCTGCCCCCTCCACCATCTTTAAGAAACCCATTGCAGGAAGGGGAGGGGCTAAACTAGCAAACCTTTTTTATATATATTTATATTATTTATTTATGTATTTTTTTCCTATCCAATTTGTTATGATCTACATACAAAAATGTATCTGGGTAAGGATTGCAGTGGAGAGAATGGAAATACTCTTATTTTCCTGGTAATAAACTTACTATAGAGGAATTGGATGGTCTACATAAGTGAAAGAGTAGCCTTGGAGACCTTTGTGAAAGGAGTTTGCTTAATAAAAGCAAGAAGCTGAAAGCAACTGTGTTAAAAACATTGTCTTCTATAGGGTTTCCCTGTTTTTTTTAATAATGGGTTTTAGTATCTTCTGTTGGACATGTTTATTAAAATCAAGTATTTTCATGCATTAATCAAAAAGCTATTATCTTCTTCTGTGCATTGGAAGACTTATRCCTTTGGAGGATTATTCAAAAGGTGTATAAAAATGAAGGTATGTGGGCTCAAGTGCTGTAGCTGTCCTCTCTAGCACTGAAGCCCCTAAGTCACTGCTAATTTTATATATATGTGCAATCTGATTTAAGAGAAGAGCACAATCATCTCTTTGGAATCATGATTTCTGCTCTGAAGCCTGTAGTTTTAGTAGGATTTTGCAGTAAGAAAATTAATTGCTATCTCTGCTGCTAGCAGGGTGTGTGAGCTTATCACATCAAGGATCTGTGACTCCAGAGGGAAAAGTCAAAATGTAATTTCCAGATCAAAACAAAAAGCACAGAGTCTTGAGATGTTCCCTCTTTAAAACGCTCTTGATTCTTAGCCATGCTGTAAGAGGGAGAATGACTCTGGGWAGCAATACTGTTACCCTCGTATTGCTGCACTGGGCATGCAAAAACTGAGAGGTGTGGCTAAGTGGCATGATTAATTGTTCTTGGTCGTTTGTTAGCTTATCCCTTGATACATGATCCTGAAACATTTCAGTTTGATTTTTCTGTTATTAACAGCATTTTTAGGGCATCTTTAAAGTTTTTCGAGCTTTCTTCAATTTAGCGATTTTGAGAACATGCAGGTGTTTGCTGCTGAAATTGTTCTGAGCCATTCTCTGCTTGCTTTCCTCTGTCACACCGTCTGGTAGCAGGTCTGTGTGAAGGTAATGCCAGCAATGAACTGAGAAGGGAAGGAAGGGAGGCCGAAATAGCAAAGTGAATTGTTCCATTCACAGAGCTTTTCTGCTGGGGAATAAGTTAACACTGTAAACAGGAGAGAGGTGTGGTTTGCAGATTGGACAGGAAATCCTTAGTTCTAATCCTYGCTGTGCTGTTGATTCCCTTAGAGACCCTGAGCAAATGCTTTCTGCTGCTTTTTCATTGGAAATAAAATGGGGATAATAGCACTTAACAAGCTCAAAAGAGCAGCTCCTTAATGTGAAATGTTGAAACATTTGTAGTGTACTTTGAAAATAGCATGTGGCACATGGAGGCTTGAAATTAGCTTGGTTAGCTGTCTGAGGTTATTTCCTTGCACTGCTCGGAGGACTGGGGACATTTAGGGGCCCAAGGCACCAGTGTCAATGTATAGGCTTTGTTTTTCTTGCATRTAACAATGAAAAGCAGATGCTTTATGAGAGATATGAGGAAATGCAGCCCCAGCACCATAGCCATTGTCGGGTGTGATTCATGGCAGGCTGCTCTGGCACAGCCTGTAGCTGCATTTAACCCTGCTGTGAAGAGGCATCTCAGCCCTTTCTTGCTTGGGCTGCGGTGAATTTGTGAGCAGRGAGCATGGATGAGAAGAGTGCATTTACATTTAGCTAATCCACGACATGTGCCAGATCTTGCAGGATTTGTTCTTTGCAGGATTTTATTCATGCTTTTCCATTCATTCCTCTTTTCAAGATATTCCCCTACTCAACTTCCTCCCTTCCCTCCTGCCTTTTCCTCCATCTTTTCCCTTCAAAATCCAAACCTATATATATATATAGGCCCASTATTTTTCGCCACTTTGTCCCCACTCCTGAAGTTACTCTGCATGGAGGGGCCAATTTGTACAAATGACCCAGGGACTCTCATGAGACTTCTGGGATCCGAACTCAGGCCTCTGAATTATGTGTTTATGCATTAGACAGAGCCCTTCTCAGCTTGGCAAATGGGCAGCTATTCACAAGAAACTGGTGAAAGAGAGAGAGAGATTTGGACTGAAGCCTGCCTGTAAATCTCTGGATTACTGCTGCAGACAATTGCTGCCTTCTAGGAGGAAAATATGTCACTTTCTTCAGAAATCCCAGAGCTACAGTGTGTTCAAGTTCTTCAGAAGAAGACGGGACTAGAAGTAGAAGAAAACTGTGGAGAGAACCCCTGAGAAATACAGAAAGGGCAAGTTGTTTAACAGTGGCACTTAACTGGCCTACCCTAGMGACTTATTTAAAAATCCCAGGCAACACTAAGCTCTGAGTTCCTCTGATTCTTGCCTTTCCTCCCCTTTCTTTGCAGTCCCTCTGTCCTCTTTGCACTTATTTCAGTACCTGCAATACAGCAGGTTTTCCTTTCGTGGTTCCTTGCACTTGGATTTTTTGACATGAGCCTGTTTCTTCCTCTCTATCTGCAAACAGAGGTATCTCTGTATTCATAGTACATAAAAATTTATCTGTACTTTTTTTTAACCACAGTTTACTGGTTTCAGCTACTGCTGAGTGCAGAGCACCATCRACTTGGCTCTCATTGGTGACGTTGAGTCTAAGGCTGAGCAGCCTGGAGGCAGAGAGCTACAGGATTATGACAAGTCAAACAGATCATCATATTCCATGTTTTCTTTACCATAACTGTAAAAACTTAGAGGAATAGAAAGACAGTAGGACAAAACAGAATCCTGCTTATGTTTTTGAAAACATAAAGCTGTTCTGCAGGCAAACCTGGTCCAAAAATGAGTGCCTAGAATACTTGCTTACATGATCATTGCCATACGTTTACCTTCTACCAAAAGAAAAAAAGAATGCATGGGTTTTCTGCTTTGAGAATTTAATCTTTCCGAAACTTGGTTTCAGTCCAAATTGGACAGCAACTAAACATGTTTTTCAGTTCACACAAATGGGAAGTTCCCTGGACTCTGCAAGGTCTCTGAGAAGGTAGCAGGCTCATCATTTGCGCTTCCAGTAGCAGTAGGAAATTATCGGGAACGTCAGTTCAGTGACCAACTACAGGGGCTTCCCATGATCCGGCTTTCTGCAAAGCTGCCAGGAGAACTCTAGTACTATCAAATACCACGAGCCTTTACAACCTGTGTCTGCAAACCAAACCAAACAAGGAATAGAYTCTTTGTCAAGCGCTCAGGCATTCCCTTCTCCCAAGACACTTTAGCAACAACCCTCTGGTTCTTCAGAGCAGTCCACTGGAAATCCTTGGATGTGGCAGAAGGGAGGCTGTGAGTGCAGGGATGTTTCTCTTGGTAGCATGAGCCTCCCTGGACCAGAAGACTAGTCCTACGGTTAGACAGACACGGAGTGAGGAAGGGCACAAGGCCAGGAGCAACAATCCAGTGACAGGCAGAGCATGAACATTTATGGAGCCATGGCCAGCTGCGGTGCTGCAGCTTAAGCCTTTGGTTGTGCTGGAGATAAAATGCATCTTGAAATCTGGAAAACTTTCAGAAATAGAAACTTTATTTTCTCAATACCCCGTTCTTATAAAATCTTCTTTATCTATTTATGAAACTGAAGCACTGTCATCCCCAATGACTTGCCAAAGGTCATTCAGTAGATCAGTGACCGAGTTAGAAAGAGAAGTCTTCTTGGGTTTCCTTTCTAGTGTCCTACCTGCAAAGCCAAAGGAGATAGAGATGTGCAGGTGTTCCGAGCTGCTCAGTGCTCAGGAGTTCCTTCCTGAGGTCACCTGAGCTACCAAGTGTTGTGTGTTTTGGGAACTCCTTCCTTGATCTAACTTCAGTTGATAGTTTGGAGCACTTGAAAATCTGTCTGTGACCACTCAGACCACTTCAGTAGCTCATGGCAGAGGCAAGAATAGATCACAGTGTGTGTATTTCTTCCCCCAGCCTTTTGTACCTCCTTCTCCCTGTTCTTGTGGTCAAAATGAGCTTTTTCCTTAACTACTCCATCTACCCTCTTTCATTTTTCCTGCTTGCTTATTTCTCAGCCATGCTTTTGTTCAGTGTTCTTCTCCTTTCATTAAATTGAGCATCACATAAGGAGGCAATTGTTTGCTTAGCATGCTCTATCTCTATTGTCCTTTTATAGAGAATAATGAGTATGAGGCAATTGAAGTTAGGATATATTGTCACAAGAAATCAGAGTAGTTATCACAGGAATGGAGCTGCAGTATCAGCCTGCCCAGGTATTTTCCATAGCAGCTTGAAATAGATTCCCTCTGCCTGCTGTTGCTTCTGACTTGTCTCCTCCAAGTCCTCCTTGTGTAGTGCCAGCACAGGCAGAGCTGTCACAGCACTTGGTGCATAGTACTAATTTTGTCTGAGGTTGCCAAATTTGTAGTTTCACAGAGATGCCTCCTCCTTCCTTCCTAAATTATAGGAGATTGTGTTYGTTTTGTGTTAGTTTGTGTTAGCCACCCACACAGCGTGGATTACCTGATCYGAGCAGTGCTCTATACAAAGTGGAGCCGTGTGGAGTAACTGTCACCTCTGTGGTGACTGTAGCGGGTGCTGTCCTTAGCAGGCAGCTCTGTCCCATGGGTGAGCTGCACCGGGGCTGACTGCAGGCCGGGTGCTGAGCCCTGCTGCCCCTGGGGCAGCCGYGGCCTCGAGCAGCAGGGCTGGAGGGCGCGCAGCGGTCTGGAAAGGCTCGTGAGCGGAGCGGCCGCTCATGGGGCTGCCCGGCTCCAGCCACCGCTGCTCCCTGCAGCTAG